TTTCAAAACTTAATGCTACACAAATTTATAGTATTATAAAGCATTTTAGCTAGCGCAGATCGCGTCCCCCAAGTTGACGCCAACGTGACATAAATATTTTTTATTAGTAAATCATATATAAGTATAATTATATAATTAAATTTATACGTATTAAAGTTTAAACATACCAATAAATGCTTGTTAAATATAGGCATTCAATCGGATATCGACCTAAGGTTTATGTGCAAGACAGGACACAAACACATTGCAGGTTTGAATGATAAAAAATTTTTTAGCCACGTATAATTATTTTTCTATTAATACAACAATGATAAAAAATCATAACGATAATAATACATATACAAATAAAAAAAGCCAAAATTATATCGAAAAGTGGCATATCTTTAGAGGTTGGAAGCACGGGTGTAAGGTTTGTGACGAATGCGATCATCATTCACACCTATATTGCAAAACATGCAAAAAAGTAGCGAACGGAATATATAATCGATGTGAATGTAATCAGAATTAGCGATTTGGTAATAACCCTTCGGGACATAAAGTTTTTATTTTCTGTTTTTCCATATATTCATTAACATGCGTTAGAATAAATTCTGTATATATGTATTGAATCAATTCGAAAAGGTGTGAAAAAAGTAGTTGGAGTAATTGTGGGGCTATTAAAAGATAGGGTAATGGCATGTGAAGAACTAAAAAGCAAGAAAAAAATCATCAGTATTTCTTATCACATCATGTTCCTGGCACCGAAGTGCCCATATATATTTTATTTATTACAACGGGTATCTCTGATGCATAAATGTGTATTTATTCCGATATACAAATGAATCATACATAAAAACAAACCTTTTTTTTCTCGCTTAAGTGAGATCAAATGTTAGTAAACTCATTCTGCGATATTATGTGCCTAATTTTTTTGGCGACGGCCCGTCGCTGAATTTTAGTCATGTGATATTAGTAATTAAAAATGGGAAGATATACCAACACAGCACGCACGTGTCTAATTCACGCTAACCACAACTCTAATGCCGACCATGCTGTGTCGATTAGCTTAATGCTGGCCATTTTGCTGTGAATCACGTGTATGCCGTGTCCCCTGAAATGTAGATCGGTAATAGTATCCCTCACCTGAAAACGCGAAACCCACTTTTTTTTAACGTTGCTTTTTGACTAGTACCGTGTAAGTTTGTAAAATTCACTTATCTCCTCGTTACTTATATTGATAGTTTTGCCTAGCGTGAAGGAAGCGTCCGCGGTAGGGTTGAGGCCTATCGGAAGCCAGTTATGGCGAGTCACCATCAAGCGGTGGCCGGCGGATTTCGTTGCTTCAGAACTATCACGGGCTTGACATCATGAAAAGGTGTCCGCGGTAGGGTTGAGGCCTATCGGAAGCCAGTTATGGCGAGTCACCATCAAGCGAAGGCCGGCCTTGATTGAGAGATAGCTCGTTTTGTAGTTACTTGATGTCTTCTGTTTAGGATGTTTCTCACAATTTTCTCACATTTTACAAGATAATGGGACAAGTAAAAAAAAAGGAAGTTAGAAAAAATCAGCAAAATGTAAATATAGATTGGATCATAAATTCTCCCGATCCAACACCAATTGCTTTTTTTCGTCTAACGCACCCAACGGCACGATCTCGAGCAATAGACACATATAAAAAATGTTTTAATCTCGCTTTAAACCGTAGTAAAGGCGCAAATCTTGATAAATTGAAAGCTGTGAATAATAATGTATGTACTCACCAATTTTTACATCAAATATGAAATATTTTTAATTAATTTCTTTCTTAAATAGGAAGAAATTATACAACAAGACTGGGAAATTTGGCTAAAAGAAAAGAAAGCGGTATGTTTAACTATTAATTATTTCAGAACTATAGGTTTATTATTTTTAATATTCAAATTCATGCTTTAGATTCAAGCCTGTCGAATGAGCCATGATACGAATTTGCAAATTCAAAAAGACTTTGCTATAACGATGAAGACAGTAAGTCATTTTATGAGTATGGTTTTGGACATTACAACATTGTTCAAAATATTTTGACCATAGATTGCCGGTGCAACAAAAAACGATATAGGGGAACATAATAATTTTACTTCGGGAAGTCATCGCATGAAAAGTGAAGAACCTGCTGAAGATGATGAAGATGATGAAGATGATGAACCTTTAGTTCCAAAAAGATTGAAATTCGATAACAGTGATATCAATGAAGTTGATGATATAGAAACTCAAAGTATACACTCGGGATTAACAGGATACAGTCCAAACAATCCATTTTTTATACCGGTTAAAGATGATGCATCGGGTGAAAATGATGTATTTGACTCATCCTACCATACTAGATCAGAGGAATCAAATGATGATATTGAACTTGAACAAAAAGAAAAAATCGAGTTTCAGTATGAATGGTTTGTTGGACCCGGTATAAAAGAGTTTACATTGAATGAAAATGACAATAAGGTAATGTTTAAACTCTTGATTTCAATTCCGAGTGTTAGCGTTTAATATTTCTGCATATATATATAGTGGACTGTCGGCACAATTGATGTTTCAAATTTGCTATTGGAATATCGTAATTTTTCAGTCAAAAAGGCATCAGAAAAAAAGATTGAAAATGCTGTTGAAATACTGTAAGTGTTTTAGATCTTTATAGCTTATATGCAATAAAGTAAATAATATATAATAATAGCACTTTATTTAATCTTTAATTCCCGTTTTTGTAATAATTATTATAGTTCTCTTAATTGTATATTTCTACTGGATGAGAATTTATCAACTGGGATCCCAGAAATGATTGGTCCCGCATCATTGAAAGCGATTTTTGAAAATATAAGAAGCGAATATACTCCATATCATTTGTCAGATAAAGATGTTATACGATGTCATGAGATATCCAAGGTAAGATTTTCGTGAATGATTTTAATGTGTTAATTCTTTTTGATTAATGTTACATTAATTTAACAGATCGCAAATAAAAACTTCCAAGGTTGCAAGTCATTACTTAGGAAATGGCAGAAGGAAGTCGAAGAGAATGATGATGATTTAGTTTTAGAAGTTTTTGAATCAGTGTAAGTTTACAAAGTCCATATATATTATATAACCGAAAATTGATATAATTTTGTTTTTAATTATCTTGTAGCTTCAGGTATTTTCCACGTGACACCAACAGAGCAGACGCACGAGAAGATTCTTTTGTCCATGAGGTCTTTGCACCAATAATTTCACCTTTTTTTATAAATAGCAATCTAAAGTGTGAATGGTTTGTATATAAAATAATAGATTCTTACATGCATTAAAATAATAATTAAATATATAAATGAATTGTTTATAGGTCCTCAGATGTCTTGGATCCGTCGACCCACAGAAAATGTAAATTCGACCCCGTGCTTCAGGGAAGAAAAGCAGATTTCTCTGCTTACACTCAAATTAAAAGCAACAAATACTACCTGTTGGTATCTGAAATAAAATCCCCCAGGTATATGTCTTCAAAGAAAATTAATTTTTTGGATTGCGATTTAGTAAAAATCGGAAATGAAATGAAGGATATTCTTGATAAGTGCATTGAAGATGGTGTAAACAACATTGATTTGACTATTTGTGGCATACTTGTTGAAGGTAAATATGTATTAATGGTTTTTAGCATGTATATCCTTATTTACCTTTCCTTTTTATAATCAGGTTTACAGTGCAGTGTGTTTGCTATGGACCTGAAGTTTGATGCGATATACCGAATGATACTTCTGGGAAAGTTTTTCCTTCCACAAAATATTCATAACCTTAATGTACTTTCTATCGCAATAGAAGAACTAATGCAAACAAAGGTCAGTATAGAATATTATGTCTGCCAGACATTATAATTGTATATTAATTTTTTTGTCTTTATACAAAAGAGCATCATTTCCCGTTCCGCTGAGCTTTGCTTTCAAAGTGTATTTCAATGCAATAAAGATCCAAGTATTACATCCACTATACCTGCCACACCCATACGCAATAGAATGGCACGACCATCTTTTCACACACCAATAAGGGTTCCAACTAATCATTCCGTTCATAATTCATGATATGTTACTAGCATTAATGTATTTTAAAATTCGATTGCTCTTATGCTATACAATTTATTCAATAACCCAGATTGGAGAAACAATACGTATAATTATATAATTCTTTCTTTTAAATTTTTGCCACTTTTATCTCGCATTTTAAATAAATAATAAAATATGTATGGTCTCTTACTAAAATATACAATTTGAGATTGATTTATCTGTTATTGGGACAGCGAATTTCCGAGCTTGAAATTTATTCCAGTATATTGATATCGATGTTTTCTGGGAAAAGATTTTTCATGGTGGCGATGCGGAGATTTCATTTGGTTATATCGATAAAGTTATAGTTCGAAAAATTGCTAACTCCCAATAATTCCTGCGTTCATATTAGGTAAATAGACATATTAAAGATGAAAAATTATTAGATAGATAACATAACTATATACTGATCTCGATCTTGTAAAAGAAAAGAAAATAAACTTTTAAAATATATTCATATCTTAAATAAAACAATGACAAGTGCACAATCCACAATTGATTCATTGAAAGAATTAAATTCTAGGCTTGTATCCGAAATTGATAAACTTAGAAAGAAGTTTGCTGAGGTTGAAGCTGAGAATATCGAACTTAAAGCTGAGAATGTGAAAGTTAAGGCCGAAAATACAGAGATTAAAGCTGATAATGTGAAGTTAAAGCAAGCTTTAGAAGAACATGAAATCAGAATCACGAATCTAGAACAGAAAGATAAAGGAAAAAATTTTACTAGTGTGTCACAGTCTCCAATAAATTCTAGCAGTATTTCTGAACAGATAGTCTTACAAAGTGAGGATGCTCCAGCATCTGATATATCTGATAATGCATCAAATTCTGATGTATGTCAGGAGCCTTTAACCCGATGCCCTGCATCGCCTATCCACACAGAGCCTAAGTTATTAGAAGATAAGAAGATAAATAATTTCTTAGATATGCAAAATAAAAAAGAAGTTAGTGATATGATGATAAAGAGGAACAGGGAAAAGAAACTTCAAAGATCACTTAATAACTCAATTCTATCGATACTATCCGAAGTATCAACTATGCCAACATCTCCAGTTTCTAATATTGACATGTCAGAATCTTTGGACTCGAAAACTGTGAAAAAGCTTTTGAATCACAATCAAGATAAAAACCTGGATAAATCACACAAGAAAAAAGGAACAGAGGATATCGTTCAAGTAATAGCTAATGGTATTCGGGATAATATCCTTTTAGATGAGTCAGAGGTTCGAAGTTTGCTTCTTCAAATAATGTGACTGAAATTGCATATCAAATTTGTTCTATAACCCCATTACTTGACTTGGCACAATTATTTGATAAAGCAACTGCATCAATAACGTAACCAATTTCGCGGGTTTCCATCGCGGGTTTCACCCTGTCGTATTATAATTATATCAAAGCTGTCATGCTTGGTAAAGTTATTATCATCTTGGTTATCTTCTTGTTTCAAGATACGTTATCGGGGAAAACAGTAACCTTTAAAACACCAGATGTTCTTACTATCTCTTACATCAAGAAAGATCCGGAATTCTCTGAGTATTGTGTCCAACAGTTGCAACAAGTAGGAATAGGTAAATGGACTTCAAAGTCTATTTGTGGATTATTAAACTTATCAGCAAACGTTGATCCTCCCAGTAATTTTTCAGATATGAGTAACACGTGGGGGGACTTTCAAATATGGACCAACAACAAAGAATACAGAGGATATATCCACATTCCCAGTTTTAGTGTTAGTTGTGACACTGGCGGTCATATCATCAGTGCTAACCCTAAGGACCCTGATTACAGTGATCAACACAACCCAACTCGAAATCCTGACAAAGTCGTAAATGCTATTGGTAATCCCTATGGATTTACAAAAGCATGGCCACTTTATCAAGTTGGTGATATTTATATTCAGGACCCAACATTTAACGGGATTAGGTGGACAAAAATCAATGACAATACTTGTTTAACAATCAAAGATGTTAGGTCTAGTCGGTTAGCTCATGATGAACGAGTGGTTCAATATAAATTAACAGGATACGATGCACCATTTATTTTCGCTAAAGTTGATATGACAGTTTGTTGTAATCGGCAAGTTTCTGTAAAAGTCCATCGTACTGTTTTCCCGCAAACTCGGCTTTACATTAATGGTGTATGGAAAAGTGTGCAAGCACAAACTGAACTTGGCAAGTTTATTAAATCTGGAGGTGAGAAGTTATTTCAAGATGGTTATGGATACCATGCTCCTGACGGTCGGGATTTGACCTGGAATGGAAAAGTCTAAATCAACGATAGATCACATATACACATTATATTAATAGATCTATGTTATTCTTTTTATTGTATTTCATGCCAATTAAAAGTATGTTCGAGGATGATTCTATAATATATAAATTATTTGTCTTTCTACGAGTCTTTTTTAAGATAATAAATAAATTATATTAAAGTTTTAATACAAAACATACATGATTCAAAAGTATCAAAATTTTTTTTGCGTATATTGGATCTGACTGTTGTGAAATGGCATTCATTTTTGAGGCTAGAATTTATTATGTAAAAAAAGTCAAGTGAACTTCGTAGATATTATTGTCTCTGACCTCGCAAGATATTATGTGAGAAAGCGTTACTTCTGATCTCGAGATGATTAGTGATATGTGATCACAAAATTAACCTAAACGGCCGACTCAATAAAATTCACAGCAATATAGCTTATTCAAAGTTGAGGATCATAACCCCAAATAATACACTATTAATTAAATCCATATATATGCTTATTCTTTTGTAGTCAAACCTATTTACGGTGTACTATATTTTAAATTTGTTTGTCACACAGCACTACATATGGCGATTCACAACTAAATATTAAAGTAGCCAAAAGCGCCTCTTAACAGGTTATTGAACAATGTACAATAATCCCAAATATAGAAACGTGCGATTGTTGGTTGATTTACCGTGTCCAATAATTGTGGTGCCAAATTTAGTAAACAATTTAATTATTTGTACGTAGTAATTATCGTGCTACGTTATGATGCCAAATAAAAATTGTAAGTTGATTCGTGTTGAATTATTGCAATGCCGAGTCATTATATCATATATACTGCTTCGTGTCAAATTATTATGTAATGTACAGAACTAATAAAAATAGGCCGTAATTTATAGCACGAATGCACTAGCTCACGCTAATAAAAGGGTTATCTTCACTACAAAGTTCTGTTCCGAATTTGCTCATTTTCAAGAGAATACCTTTAATTTTTTTTATTTTTTATTTTTATAAAATTGCTTACCGTATTATCACTATGTCGTCGCCAAATGTTTTATTATCGAAGGCCTCCAAAAGGAACTTACGTAAAAAAGAA